TTTTCAGGAGTATTACTTTAATGGGGATGTATTTAAGACTGAATTATGGTGCTTAGATAATAAACTTAATGCTTAGTTCCTGTAACTAAAAATATTTGTTTTTATGCCCTTGTGTTTTTTAATATTTACTGATTGCGTAGCAATTTAGCGAATTTACTAAATTGAATGAAATGTGGAAGAAAAAAAGAAGCCGCTCAACGGATGATGGAATTAGTGAATCAGCTTATCAGTTGATGAATGAATCGGCTTATAAATAAATTAATTTGATTTATAAACCTACACTTTACGGTATGTTGTCAACTACGTTTTCCATAAAAAAAAATAATAAAAAAAAAAAAAAAATGTTCAGCAAATGTGATTTTAGCTGACTCAGGCTATATATTGAGACATATTTAATTTTATAAGTTCTCTTGTGGGTCAGCCTTGTCCCCACTTGAAAGTTCCACCCTGAAGATAGCATTGTACCTGGTAGGAAAAAAAAATTCACTCCCCTCAAAAAAATCTAGTAGTATTAATTTACATATCTGTATGTGGAAGGTAGAAGACACTATGTCTATTTATTTCTAAAATTGAGTGTTGAAACCATGCTGTAGATTTCTCACTCTATCTTGTGTCATAGGACACTATGTCCTGTCATTATAAATAGCGAAGTTGGGCTGTTTGAAAAAACACCACGTCCAACTTCCTCTAAGGGCTAATAACAAAGTTAAGCAATTTGGGGAAGAAAAAAAAAACTGTCTAACTTTTTCTAAAGGTAAACAATATTAAAATCTGCTCTCTTTAAAAATTACATTATTTTGACATGGTATCCTTTACCTCCGATGTACAAATGTGCAATCAGATAAAATTCGTTTTTTACTTTTCTCATTTTTTATAGATTTATAAATCTTCGATAAAATGGGTAAAAGGTATGTCAACTTAACAGTTGTCTTTTAATATATATATGGGTGGGTCATTCGCAGAAATTAATGAAATTTTTTAGAATTATTATGAATGTTTTATAAATCTAAATACATATTATAAAATACATTGAAAATGTAAGTTTAAAAAAATTAATTTTATTATTCAAAATTTGTCGACGTACGTCAATAGACTGTTACACCTTACTAATTCCCCGTTCTCTGTCCTCGTAATTGATAATAATAATAATATAAAAAAATTAATAATCTCCAAAAAATAACTTTTTTGACTGAGAATGCATTTAAAATATTGGACTGAAAACAAAAATCTTAATTATAAATTTTAATATGCTCTTAGCGTCAAATTAAATTCCTGCCCCAGAGTTACATTTCAGCCTGTAGTAAAAAATAACAACAAAAAAAAGAGGCAATAAATTTATCTAGATGACAGCCATACGTTTTTACGGTTCATGAATCTTTTGCCAATGAGGCATTTTGTTTACAGCTAAAAGAATGGCGTATACTTTGTTCTTCACTATATTTACTTTGAAGTTTTTAATTTTTGTCATGTGTAGAGATCAGCATCAGCATGTCACGTTTGTGGACATCATAGAATTTTTCTGAATATAATAATAATTCTATAGGACGTTAAATTACTTATAATTACTTATTTAATTAGCTTATCTAATTCGATGAACTAATTAAATAAATCAATGTATCAGTACTTTAAAATATTAGAGACTTGTTTACCAATTTTCAAAATTTAAGTTAAAAATATATCAATGTCTAAAATGCAGTAAAGCAAGTTTACATCACTTTCTGTGGACACTATATATCTACACTGTGTCCATGTGGGTGTGATAACTATATTAACCCATGTGATTCGATGAAATCTTGAAATTGAAATTTCGACTGCACCTCTGAACCTGGTAATAATTCAAGTTTCAATCATTAACTAACCACAACTTACTGAATTTATCGTTATTTTATAGCCAAAAAAGAATTTATCATCTATTTAATATTTGACAATTATATTCCATACCTGCGTAATTTCTATCTTTTAAGTCTTAAAGATTTTGTGCTGAAAAACAAAATGTAACGTAACGCAAAAAAATAGAAAAAATCTCAAAGCAGTTAAAATTGCAATAGCTTTCAAGCAAATTAGAATTAAGAAGAAAAATAAATAAATAAAAGACTGCAAGTTTATAAATAAATAAGCCTTCAGAAAACCCCGTATGTTTTTTTCCCTCACAAGTTTAAAAGGTAATAATTCTCGAACGAATAATAATTTTTTATTATTATTCCATTGTACTCCCTGTTTTTGACAATTCGTAATTTCAAGTTTTTAAATGTTATAGTTTATGCGCAGCAAAGTAAAAGTTTACGTTAAGAACACACAAAACAGTGTCGATGGCCCTTACGATTTTTTTTAAAATTTACAGAGAAAGTTCCTAATATATAAAAGCATTTATAAAATTTATTTATTGGTTTAGTATTACGTTAGCTTTTCTAGATAGAGCAAGAAGATACAATTATTATAGATACAGTATTATTTGAAATTATAGTTTATATAATTTCGTTTTGAATTGTTTATATTGCTTTAATTTCAATGGTATTAAACTCCTTCTTCTTGAGTTGGAAAAAAATTTCAATATTAACTATAAATTCTAATAAATATAAATATTTTGAAACTTTTTTTTGTTCATTTTCTATGTATTTTACGTTCTAAAAGATTTCAGTGAAAAAAAAAAAAAGAAGAAGCTAAATTTTATTGGAAAAAGTTTCTTTCAAAATTAAGACATAAATAAAAGAAGACAGCATCAATAAATTCTTAGTTTTAATAGCGTTTTAGCATTGGAGTTGCACAATGCATTTTAATACACCTGTCAGGGTCAGATACTTCCGGAGTTTCGTTATGATTAGAGCAGACGATGTTCTCAGCTTCAGGTAGAATGATGCTAAACTTGTTGACAAATCTCTAGTGGAAATCCAAGAAGTTAACAACGGTTCCTAAAGTAATGCTGACTTGTAAGTTTTTTCTTAATTTACTGCCCTCTGTCAGCTGGTTTATTCTATAGTTTTAATTACGTCACGAATTACTACATTCCAAAGTCCTGTTCCAGCCAGTACGGTGTTTCGAAATTCTGATGTAACGACCTTGCTGTGTAGACGTATCACAACAAACAACAGTTAAAGAGAAATTTATTGTGATCGATGAAAATAGATATTTTCTGAGATGATATTCTTTTGATATATTAAAGACTCTAATTCATTTTAGAGATTAAATGGTATGCGCTTTTACTAATTATTAACTTTTGAAGATTATAAATCATTTATATATGCTGTTTTAGGGAGCTGAACAAAGCAGTAAAAGCGAAAGTGTTTGTTGTTTATGTTTTATTTTAATCAAATTCTGATTATATTAGATATCGGATCAGCTCTTTAATGACGCAGACTACGTGCTATTCGATGAAAATTTATTTTTTATATATGTTATTTAAAATTTTATACCCTTTTGTGTAATTTAATCTAAAAACTAATTTTATGAAAATTCACTTGATAAATCTGTGTAATTTTCTGTTTAATGTATTATATCGTATGATGATTTGGATATTTGTATGATGAAATCTTGTTATTTAACATCCTATGACGCAATTTCAATTTCTACTGAACCCAAGATTGTTATCTTTTTTATAGAAATCATTGTTTTCATTAAGTACGCAGTCCAGTACGGTCGCTAAATTCACAAAAATAACAAAATTGATTTTATATATTTAAGAAAATTTTGTATTGGTAAGTTAAATATGTATGTTTTTTTAATGATTTTTTATGCTTAGTGACAATTCCTTATTTATATATTCCTTAGAATTTTATAAATGTTTCACTTTAGCTTTCAAATGATAATTTAATTACATATAAAAAAATTCTACTTGTTTATTTAGCTCAACTGTTTAATATGTTTCAAAGAATTTTCCCATCGTTTTATTTAATTTTTGTAAATTTTCTATTTAACATATTGTTTTGTATGGTGGGTGACTCAGATCTTTGTATGATGAAATTCTGTAATATTGCTTTTTATGATGCAATTTTGAATTCTTAGTGAACTTAAAATTGTTTATACCCAATTATAGAAATCATAGCTTTTATTAAAAATATACTCTTTCATATATTATTCTAGAATTTTTAAATTAAGAGAAACTGATCCTTCTTAATATTTAGTAAATCTTAGTAGTAGCAAGTTACATTTTTATGAATAGTGAAAACTATCTATTGTTGATTATCTATACTTAAAATGGTAGTATTTCATACATTCATTTTCACCTATTCATGCACTATCACTTAAACCGGTTTGAGCCAACTATCTTTGTCCAGGTCCTTTTTACATCTTAAAATTTTTTAAAAAATGTCTAGTAGTTTGTCGGAGAATCACTATGAGTCCTACCCTCTGAGTGGTCCCCTTATTATGTGACTTTTTTTTTAGTATTCATGTGCAATATAAATACCTTCCCCAAAAATTGTTAGTAAAAAGCTGAAGAAGTTAGATAATCGTCTTAAGTTAGATGATCGGCCAAGTCATTAGCAAAAGTTGACGAAATTGTACATAAACTCACAAATTCGCCACCTGAATTCACATGTTAAAAAGAAATCTGGGTTTAAGAAAAAGCAATTTTTCTACAAAATCATGTGGGTATACAATGAAATCTTAGCAAATCAAGTATGTCAAAAAAAATATTTTTACGATTTGGGAATTGCACGCCAATTATACTCTGGTAATTTTTTGTAGACCACTAAATTTTAATTACTGCTGTGAATCTTAATGTAAAATTAACAATTTATCATTGCATGCATAAATCATAGTTCCTACTGATGTCACCAGGGGTAGAATGGTCTAAAGAACGAATAACTAAAAAAAATATGGTCTGGCAAACTTTATGGTGGTCTAAGTAAAATTTTAGTGGTCTATGACCAATGGATCATTGTTAGTTTGGAGCTATGTGCTGTGATAGTTTTTCGTTTAAATTTTTAACGTTAGCATTATCAAACCAAAAATTTCAAAATTTTGTAAAACAAATGAATTTTTATTTTGTTCTTCTTTTTCAGCACACAATGCGATTGTCAGTTAATAATTTGCCAGATGGTTGTACACAGGAAGAGTTAAAAGCATTGTTTAGTCAGTATGGTACTGTCAAGCAGATAGATGTCTTTTTTTCATTTGGATGTGTGGTATGTTACATTTGTAAACAATCAGATTTATATATTTTATTCATTTGATAATAAACATTTTTAATAAACTTGAAGAGTACTTTGAAGCTTGGATGTTAGTTTGATGTTAGATTTATATATTTCTACATTAGAAAAACTTATATTTTTAAACTTTAATATTCATGATTGGAATATTTTTGTTTTAAATAGTATTTTCTTAATATTATTAAAAGGCAACTCCACCATTTACAAACATCTCATTTTCAGAAATGCATCATTGATCTCAATTTTTAAGAAATAAAGCTGTACTGGTAATTTTTGCTAAAATAACTCTTGGTATTGTTTGCATTTTCTCCAGTATTCAGTGATGTGTAGAAATTTAATTTTTTCATATCGCACCCTGGCAAGAACAGTATCATTACTCTAAAATGCAGCATTTGAGAAAAATCAACTTAAAGAATACTATAAAACTTATTCTGAAATAGACGCAAAACTGACACAACGTCCCTCAGCTGGATAAATTGCAAGTTAGAGATGTGACACTTTTAAAGCTTGGTGGGGCACTTCATACATATTTTTAACCCCTTAACGATCGGTTAATTTTCCAGAAAACTGTCACAAAAGTGTCTATTTTTTTTGCTTTTGTATAAGTATTACGTATTTGATTAGTGCTGCAACCAGTTTAAAATTAACTAACTATCTACAATTACCTTAAAAATATTCAGGTACTGCTATCAGTTGTGTAAAATGAGAAATAAAATGTTTTCCGGGCAAAAGAAATGAGTTAGTTTTATTGTTATTGGCGCGTTACTTCTGAACACTCCAGCCCGTCAATATAACGGGAGCGAGAAATAGCGGGCGAAAACTCACCCCGTCATTTTCACGGGAGCGAGAAGAAAGGGGTTAATTGACATAACCTTAATATTGCTGTTTTTTTATTTGTCACTTTTCTTGCCAGAGTGCGATATATTGTTATTTACGTAATAGTCAGTTTGTAATTTTTAAATGAATGAAAGTATTCTTGTTTTTTTTTTCTCCGAATATCAGCTTCCAAATATTATAAGTTCTTTCAAAGCAGAAATTTCAATTTGTTCTTTTCTTTGAACAATAAAATTGCATTCTAAAGCTGTAAGCAACTTATTGTTCGTTCGAGCATTAACAATAAAATTTAATGTCAATGTGGACTTTTGTACATATTGCTAGTAAAAACTACTCTTAACATTGTCTCAAAGAATATCAAGTTAGTTGCTTTCAAGTTAGTTGCTAATATAGTAAGTTAACTTTTCTTTTTTGAGTAAAATAGACATTTTTTTTTTGTAAAATATTATTACAATTTGAGGTTTTGTAAAATATTATTACAATTTGAGGTTTTGTAAAATATTATTACAATATATATGTGCTTAACATTGTAGTATGGCATATAATTACGAGCTTTGATACATTGATGCTTTGATACATACAATTTATGAGCTTTGATACATTGATGCTTGGTTGGCAAAAGTATTGCAGCCTGAGGCGTTCATTGATGTGGTGCTGTGCTAATGTGTTAACCTTGAAATGCTTTTATTTAAGGTTCATTTATTTATTCGTTTATCTTTAAAAATTAACTTAGCTGAAAGGTCTCTTCATGTTCTAGCACATTTAAAATATGTGAATATTTATACATAATTAACATAATTTGAACCAAAACTGCATTTTTTTTCCAAGTCTGTTTTAGTGCAATTATTAATTTTGTAAGGATATAAGATATATTTTTGCTCAAAATGATATATTTTTTGCTCAAAATTTTAGATAATCAATAATTTTAAAGTTGATTCTCAGATCAAATTTTGATTTATTTTCAAGTCACCTTTTTTATCTTATCTTTGTTATAATTGTGTAAAACTTTACATTTTAGGAAATGAGCACATTTGAGGAAGCTGAAAATGCTTGTAAAGCATTAAACAAGTATCAGCTTAGAGGCTGTGCTTTATCAGTTGGGGTAATACATTCTTTTTCTTTAACTTTTTATCTAACAGTTCCATGTCTATAACCTGTTCGTATTGTGAGGTTTAATATTATATTGAAAGATATATGAAAATGTTTAATTTATTGTAGATTTTTGCACACATAAAACAGCCATTTTAAATTTTTTTTTTTTGTTAAGATAAGCATAATTTTTTATTTTTTTGAAAAGATTTAGATTTGAAATGTGAATGTTTAAAAGTAAAACATTTTTATCTATTCCTAATTTTAAAAATGTGAAATTTTGATGAAAAATGTTTAAAGTGTTAGTATGTGTTAATTAATATATACAGAACGTAGATTAAATGCATTGAAGTTTTGAATTTTAAAGCATGCTTAATTTTAAATTCCATATTTAATTTTTTAAAGTAAAATATTTGAATTGTTTAATATATTTAAAAAAAAATTATCAAGCAGGTTTTTAAAAATTTATTGAATTCTTTATTAAGAAGGTTTGCGAATTGCTATTTAAAATTTATATATATAAAATGAATTAAATTAATTTTACTAAATGTCATCAATCTGAAATCAAAGTGAAATATAAAATTTAACATCTAGATATTATTTGCTGTTTCTTAACAATGATAACCGTCTTATTCCAAAAGTTTTTTATTATGATTGCAGCTGCAAATATTCTTATTGAAAAATTAAATGTTTATTTTTTGCTCTGTAATCAATTTTAAGAAATAAATGTATTTAAATTAAGTCTCTGTTCACATACATTTTGCAAATTGTATGTGCATTGTGTAAACATTGTATAAATTGGCAAGTATAATTATTAAATATTTGCCAATTAATAATTAGTCATTCTGGATAAGGATTGTTTCTCTATTATCTATGTCTCTTAATTTCTTATGTTTCTTACTTTTTCCTTTATCTCATAGATCAATGCATTGTTGTTATTGTTTTGAATTTTATTTGTTTCTTTATTTTTAATGTTATTTAAGTATTGCATATTTTTCGAAAACTTTTTTTAAGTTTGTGTTAACTAAAATATTGCTTTCTTTATTGCAAATATAGTTTTTGTATTCTGTAAATGTTAAATGTAATATTATTTTAACTAATTTTATCTGTAATGCAACCATATTGCAAAAACAATGTATTTTAAAATTTGATTTTTAGGTATTCAATGGTCCGAAAGTTGGGTCACCACCACCATTATGGTTTCAGTATCACATGTCAAAGGTAATTTAAAAAAATTTAAATGACCAGTCATAAAAATAATTACTTTTAAATTTTAACTATTTTATATAGAAATATCATTATTAAATTATCTGAGTTAGTAAAATTTTGAATTATTATAAATATTCTATCATACATTAATTACATTTACCAGATAAGTGTTTTTTATTTAAGCTTTTATGGTCTAATACACAAACAAAGATTATAACTAATAAAATGTAACTGTAATTATTTGTAACTGATTTAAATTTTACATAATATTAAATAAAGTACCTGTACTTCCTTTATTCTTTTGACAAATTTTCGTTGTGGAGATTAAGGAATTTTTATTTATTTAGTACAGTAGGGAACCGATTATCCGGAACGATCGGGACCATCGCTATTCCGGATAACTGATTTTTCCTGTTTTCTGAATCGCTACAAAAAGCCGTATTTTTTATTGTTAAACCCAACTAAAAAAAAAAAAAATATTTGGAAATGATCTTAAAAAGAAGAAAAAACGATAAAGTAATACAGTAATGATTATTTCTAAAATGATGGTATGGTAAACATCTTTCAAAAAAGAAAGAAAAATTCTAAATTTTTATGAGGAAAAAAATTTTTTTTTCTAAAAATGGCTGAAAATTTATCGAATTTTGTTCCGGTTTTTTGGTTTTCCGGTTTTCTGATTTCCGGATAACTGGTTCTGCACTGTACATCGTTTTTTTCTTCTTCTTTATTTTTAATTAAGTTTCACACTGTGGTTAATCTTTCTAATTACAAAATGATACTGTAATATTACAAATTCAACATCAAGTAAAGAATGTTAAAAAAAATTACCTATATTTATTAGAAAAGCTTGATAATTCAAAACGCTGTCTGAAATTTCAATTTTGTTTTAAATTAACATTAAAATTAAAGAATTACAATTCTTTTAACACAACTTTTTATGCAATAGCTTCTACAATATTATGAAGTATAGTATTGAAACAGTAAAAAACAGGATAAGGCATAGGATATTTTGGTGATTTGATATTTTGGTATATTAATTTTAGTTTTACTTTTAAGGCATAAAAATATTGACATAGAATAAATGTGAATTTCCAGAACTGTTACAGCTATTTTTTTTGTTATTTACAAAAAGAACTGAATGATGTAAATAAGTAAGAAAAAAGCTCTTAATCAGAATATTATACAAAAAGAAAAAAAAAAATTCTGAATTGCTCTTTTTTTCTAGCATTTATTTTTAGCATAATTTTTCAACGAAAAGTACTAATTATCAACCACTGACTTATCAAATTAAAAATATATTTCATAAAAAATCTCTGAGTAAAACTATTTTATATTTTCAAACATAATCTTATACTTATTGTTTAGTTTTAAAAATTTATCATTTATTAATATTCAATTTGAATTTAGTGTTTTAAATCTTAATTGTAACTTTAAAATATGGCAGCATTAATTCATTGAATATAATTTATTTTGTTTTAATTCTAATTCAGAGATGTCAGCACAATTTTTGTAGGAGTCGTCAGTGCAGTAGTAAGTTTCTTTTCGAACCTTTACTTTGTTTTTCGCCAAAGCGCAAATTAATTTACAAATTCGATGTGTTGTAGATGTTAATAATATTTTCCCTTTCGGGAGTAACTCCCAAAAGATATTACGATGATACCTTAAGATTAATTGTTATTTTTCGATAGCTATTATGATGAGCTATATTAATTTCGAGGTGAGTCATTTTTTATGTTTTGTTGACAATCGTTGCGCTGAAATGTCTGAAATTGTTTTCATGTTAAATTAATTTAATAAATATTGCTGCTATCTTTTAATATCTTGATTACTGTTAAAAAAATTTATTTCAGTTTATTTTGTAAAAACACTTATTATTCAACAATATGTTTATTGTTGAATATATTATTAAGCAGAATAAAATGTTCTTAAGATTTAATTTGTTATTAATTTTAAGTACTTAAGTAATTCACTTATTAATTTTAAGTTCTGCACAGGATTTTTTTTTATGTATCAAGCATTAAAATAGGCATAGAATACATTTTATTGATTAAATATAAGTTAAATGTTCATTTTAGTTTACCTAATTGAAATATGTTCCTTTCTTACATAGTAATAAATATTTTTATTTTTTTATTAGTAATTGTGATTATCTAAAGGGAAAAAAATTGCCAATTTTATTATTATTATTTTTAAAAAGTATGTATGTAAAGAAGAAAAACACATTAGAAAACTAAATAATATAGTAGGAAAAGAAAATATTTTAGTTTTATTCATCTGGTATGACAGTTATCCTTTTTCTTAAAGATAAAACAAATTTTCTTAATTATAACTGATTTAAATCATTTTGTTTAATATGCTGCTGTTATTATTAGTAATCATTATTTAATTTAAATACAAAATAGATAAAGCAAGACCTAAAGAAAGAGTTGCTGGAAGAAATGCTGAATATATCAACTGACACCAGACAAGCTCAGGCTGATGTTCCAAGTACTAAAAGTAGCTTGGCTCTGAAAGAAGATAATCTTATACAGTGTCAAGGTATAACTTTAATTAAATTTAATATAATCTCTAATATTTTTATTTTAAAAGTATAAAAAATGGAACCTCAATAACAATTGTACAGTAAAACCTTGATTGATCGTTTCTCAAGTGACCATTCATTGCAAACGATAGATATGGGAAAAGGACAAATGTGGTCAATATAAAATATCAACTAGTGACTTGAAAAAGTATGAAAAGTAATAAAGAAGTATTGGACTGCAAAATTGATAAATTTACAATAAGTACAAAAAAGTTTCAAAGAAAAGATTATTTACAATTCAAAAAAAAAAAAAAAGAAAGAAAGAAATGCATTTATTTAAAATATATAAAATTTTTAGATTGGACGCACTCTTTTCATTAAAACTCAAAGAATAATTTTTCAACATTTGTTATAACAGATTGCTGTTCTTTTTATGCAAGTTAGTGGGAATGGAGATAGTTTCTCATTCCGAAAGCTTGGAGGCCTTCTAGTATTTTTGGCGCCAGTTGTTGTTTCATTGGCATCGGTTAGCACTTGTTTGGCTTCTGCAATCATTTATTTTTAACCAAAGTCATATCTTAAAGTTTTAACATTGTCATTAATATATCATAATAAACAAGTGTGATATTTAAGGTCTTTTTTTCCAAACTGTGAAAAATTCTAATTTTCATTTTCATCCTTAGCATCAAGAGTTAACGTTTTTCTTAGCATTCAATTAACTTAATTTTTTCAAATGTCTGTAAAATTTCTGAATGATAAAAAGAGAGAGATATCTTTCAGTTTCAGAGACGATCTAACCAGGTATTATTAAATTATTAGAATACCATTTGTGTAGGTACCAATTGAACTAGACAATACATAACGGAAAACGAAAAATACGGGAAGTAAGGATTGAGGTTCAACTGTACTGATAAACTGTAAGTCCTTACACAATTATATGTAAACTGCTGTTTGTAGAAAATGCAACACCATGAAGGAATCATCAGAATCAAATGAAATTCGCAGCAAATGTCAATTATAGGATATTATGCAAATTAATAAAGTTTCAGAGCCATCGCGCGTGCGTGGCGCGCGCAGCGCCCTCTGAATTGATGCTGAAAGCGTATAAATAAAGTGCTGTAGCGGGACGTTGAAAATAGTCTATGATTATTTGTTAGTGGCAAACGTTTAGTGAGACCTGAGTATGCCTCCACGACGGAAGAATAAGAAATTCAAGCAACTTACGGAGTTTGAACGAGGGAGGATAATCGGCCTTCGAGAAGGAGGATTTTCCTATCGCGCAATAGCAGCTCGTATGCAGCGGAACAGTTCCACAGTGATGCGAGTTTGGAAGCAGTGGACCGACGAGCACCGAACAACTCGAAAAACAGGCACTGGACGACAGAAGGTGACGTCAGAGCGCGATGATCGACACCTGCTCCGCATGGCGGTGAATGATCGCACAGCTTCCTCCAGGCAGCTGGCAGCACATTGGTCTACTGCTACAGGTGTACAATTGTCGGCTTCGTCAATTCGTCGTCGTCTGCTGCGCCGTGGATTGCGTGCAAGGGTGCCATTATACAGGATTCCCCTCACGGCGGATCATCGACGGCTGCGTCGGCAGTGGGCTCTTGAGCACAGAGACTGGCGAGCTGATTGGCACCAAGTTGTCTTTTCAGATGAATCACGCTTCAATTTGTGGACCCATGATGGCCGTGTTCGTGTTAGACGTTATGCCGGTCAACGCTGCCTTCCTGAGTGTATTATTGAACGACATAGTGGTCGAACACCCGGAGTTATGGTCTGGGGTGCGATTTCGTATCATGGACGATCCAATTTGATACGAATTGAGGGTAATCTCAATAGCAACAGATACGTCCGTGAAGTGCTACAGCCCGAAGTCGTTCCTTTCCTTCAAGGCATCCCTGGAGCTATCTTTCAGCAGGATAATGCACGCCCACATGTTGCGCGGACTGTTAGAGACTTCTGTTCAGCACAACGCATGCAACTTCTTCCTTGGCCTGCTTATTCGCCGGATATGTCGCCTATTGAGCACGTGTGGGATATGGTTGGTCGGCGTCTCACTCGTGATCCGCGTCCTGCAGTTTCCAAAGACGAACTTTGGTTGCGCATACAAGCGATATGGAATTCTCTTCCTCAAGCAGATATTCAACATCTGTTTGACTCCATGCCACGTCGTATAGCAGCACTTATTGCAGCGCGTGGTGGCTGCACCAAATACTGATTTCGGACGCTTAATTTGTTTCTTTTGTTTTGAAAATTTCATCATTTATTTGTATCAGTACAAGTCGTTTCTGCATTAAATTTCATTTGATTCTGATGATTCTTTCATGGTGTTGCATTTTCTACAAACAGCAGTTTACTTAATTATTTGTCTAAAAATAATAAAATTGAAAGTTAGTTGTAGTTTCTTACATTAAATTACCTGAAAAGAGAAATGTTAAAGTCAATTTATTAGAAAAAAAATTTTTTTGAAAGAAAATTCTAAATCCATATTTTAAATTTCTAATTAAGTAAGATGGGGGTAAATTATTCAAAGAAAGGCTTTTTTTCCTTAAGTGTAAAGATGATTTAACTTGAAATGTCCTAAATTTCATTATTAAATTTATCATGTCTAAAGATCATACAATTTTATTCTTTATTATTAAAAATGAAAATTGTAATGAAGGTAGCGTTTCAGTGACCTTAGATGCCCTCTTCGTCCAAATGCTTGAGGCCGTAGCCCCCATTATATTAAACCCCTTACAACAAATAAACACTAAAATTAAAAAGAATCTTTGAGCTGTTTTATTTTTAAAAAAAATTCTTTTATTTTGTTTTTATTTATGCTTCCAGAATATATTACTGTGAGTATTGAACTGAATAGATTAAAAAAAAGTGGAAAGAATATTTAGTATAGTAGTAAGAATATATAGAATGAATATTTCTTTCTTTCATTTAGGAGAAGTTGTTCATAACGACATTTATTGTGATAATTGTGACCAGTTAATTCATGGCATTCGCTATAAATGTGGGTAAGTGAATTTTAAAATTAGTTATCTTCTTATTAATATTGTTAACAAATAACTGATTTCATGTAGTATTTGTTCCATATAAACTCATTCTGTCTGTAAGCAAATATTTACGATAATTTATTTACGAATCACTCAAACATCATTGAGGTTAAGTTCAGAAAATAAAAACTGAGACAGTTATTGAATTTTCTCAATGATGCTCATCATTAGTACGAATATTAACATCCATCCCATGTTATTTGCATCGTTGTTGACCAAGTGTCGGCACTTTTTAATCATTATTTACTGCAATACATAAATGACACATTTTGTCATACAAATGGATAGCTGATTTTGCTCAGTTTTTGTAGTAATGCCTAGATAAAACAGGGCAATAAATAAATCTTTGAATATTTTTTTTTAAAGAAAAAAAATAATAGATTTCTCATTTAATTAAAATTAGCAACAATCATATTTTATTTCCAATTAGGAAAAGTTTTGATTTACTCATGTATTTTTAATAGTGCCAAGTTCTATACATTGAAATAATCTTAAACTTGTGCAAGTTTATGCTGTTTGTTTTTTACTTTTCAATTTATCATTATTTCATAACTCAATTCCATTTATTCCCTGTACATGAATGAATTTTTCCCGTTTTAGAAATTGTTCCGACTTTGATTTGTGCCAAGAGTGTGAAAGTTTACCCAATGTTCATAATAAAGCTCACATATTTTTGAAAATCCGTTATCCTTTCGCATTGAAAATGTACCAAAAACAGAAATGGCAAGAGCTGATGTCTCCTTTACCCATAAAGCCGGCAAGATTTAGTGATTCTCCTTATTCTAAAGGGCAAAAAAAGAAGTGAGATTTCTTGACTTATCTTGTGTTTTAAGAAACTTTTTTTATTATTATTAACTGCACAGCTTATGACTTAGTATATTTGTTCCTTTCAAGATTGTTTATTGCAGTTTTTAATCTCTTTTCAACTATTAAATGTGATAGTCTGACATTTTAATGCAGAAAATAATTGTTCCATTTATCTTTTATATTTACCATTTTAGCCAAATAATTGTTTCCCAGAAATGTTTTAAATAGTTTTGATAACTGCTGAAGTTCTATTTATTATTCTTGGTTGAAAAATCACTTATTGTCAAATTTGCTTCTCCAACCTATAGTACAAACATTATCAGACAAACCAGCAAACTTGATTATTAATTAGTAGCAATAAGTTAATAGAAAACATGTAATTTATGCAAAATATTTTCAAACTTGATTTTCACATGCATTAGAAAATATCATTTACCTAAGTTTGATTTATATTTATTTCATTTGAATATTTATTTAATCAAATGAAATAAATATAAACTATGTTTTATATTTATTTCATTTGATTAAAATTTTTACTATTTTTTGCAATGTTAGAATTAATTTTCTTGAATTACAATATGACTGTTTATTTAATCTAAATGCAACTAAGAGACTTAATTTTTCATTAAATTGTTTAAAGATGCAGCAAGTAAATATTAATTACATGCTATTATTTGCTGCAAAGTACATGCTGTTGTATTATACATGCTATTATATATTATTAATTAAAAATATTTCTTTTTAAATTCGTATTGATTCTGAAAAAGGACTCAGCAATTGCCATACATATTACAGTGTCAAAGTCTTTCTGCTAAATTCGATAATAATCAAACAAAATTTCTAAAAAAAATTTTCTTAAAAATTTTTTTGTTGAAACCATGTTGAACAATATAACATTTACAATATAACATAATTTATAATATAATGTAACATTAATAACGTTTTCAAATTTCTTTTGCTATGGATAATAAATAAATAAAATTGAGATGGACTATTTTTTTGGTCTTATTTTCCTCATTTTGTAGTTTTTAGACGTGTCTTGTATGAATTAAAATAACAATTTTAATTTTGAATGTGTTTAAAAGGGTGCACCATTTATTAACCATCTTACAGGGTACATAGCGTTTATAAAAAGTGTTTAGTTTTGATTTACGTTTTTTGAAAGCCCTTAAATGTGCTTGTTTTATTCCGGGGTTTGTAAAAAGTGCTTAATTTTCTATCTTTCAAAAAGAAATTTTTTTCTTAGCAGTGTCGATTATAGTCATAAATCACAAAAAAGCATGATTTTCACAATTTTCTCTGCAACATTTATCAAAAACTTGTTATTTTATCATGATTATGTAAAGTTTCTGAAATTTTTTTTACATTTTGTTGATTTTATGTTTATAAATTTAGAACTTTAAACTATAGAAAGAAAAATTTTTTATTACTGCACAAAACCTAATTATGATTTTCGTCTTATTTTGGAAAGTGACTAAAAATATTTTTTGAGTGCTTAAAAGGGGTTTATTTTTTGTTGAAAAATCTAGCTAGGCATCCTAAGGTAACATTTATCTTTTTTTTGCGATTTTAGTTTTTTTTATTTAAAAAACTGAAAATGCTAAGGGGCCGTTCAAAAAGTACGTACACAAAAAGGGAGAAATTTTTAACCCCTCCCCCCCTTCGTACATTACCGTACATAAGGCCTTAGAGTACGTACATTTTATTAGTCTACCCCCCTTTTTCATAAAAATTAAAATAATTATGTTTTAAATAAAATTAAATATTTATTTAAGGAGTGTGTAGGATAAAGTCATATTTAAATTTGGTGTATGTTTATAAAGTACGTACTTTGTATAATACCTCCTCATCGTACAAAATAGCAAATCCCCTCCCCCCTTCGGGATGTACGTACTTTTTGAACGGCCCCTAAAATTTTCTTTTAGAAGGTGTTCTGTTGTAAAAGTCAAGCAGAAATACTTTTTTAAAATGTGTAGTATCTAAGACATTATTAAGTTTTAATATTTCTTTAAATAGACTTTATGAAGCTACATTTTTATGTGATGAAACTGTTCCTGATGGCACTATAATTCCACCTTCTACTCGCTTTGTGAAAAGTTGGAAAGTTATGAATAGTGGTATTAGAGTTTGGACACATACAACTAAAGTAAGTAATTTTTGTTGGCTTATTAAGAGGTTTTTAACCGTTCAACAGAAACTGAAGTTTTGTAGCAATCAATGCAATTGCAATGTAGCATCTTTTAAATTAAAGACTCTTTAAGATTAAAATATATTTTGGGTGGTTTATCCGTTTGCTATAAATTGATCAATAAAATTTCTTCACTATTTTTAAGATTTGCTTTACTGTTAGTAAGTGTGATATGTATCATAAAATTTAGTTAAAAAGAGTCTTGGGTTTTATTCTCATTTGATATGCTTTTTTTATTGTTTATATATATATATTAGGATTGGGCAATGTTAAGATTTTGGCATTGCGATATATCGTCACGCTAACATTGCGATAATTTGATGCAACCTGATGTTTTGGTGCATTAATGTTTACATTTAGCATTGTGTAAATTCGCAATTAGTAAGTTGCATTTTTTTAAAATAAGCGTTGCATTTTTTTAAATTATTAATTCTCAATATTTAAAGATTTGGATGTCTGCAAAATAGTGGTTAAAAACATTCAATGGCTGGATTGATTGTAAAAGAAATCAACAGGATTTGTACACACACAATTAAAAGAAAAGCCTTCCATAACTAAGACATTCAACAACATTTCGATTCTCTATCACATTCGGATTCATTATGTCAGCAAAGCAATGGGTCACAATGTAAAAAAGACTAACGATAACAATCATCACCACAGCTATCACTTCACATTTAGGGCAGAAAAAATGCTCTTTGCACAAGCTTGCAGACATCAATGTACTATCAGAAACAATGCTCAACATCGCCTGTGTAGACATCAATGTCAACTATGCATCCGGAAATATCCTATGCATCTCAGTAAATCACGATTTCCAATGCTTCGAAAAATTGCCAATCCAAACATCACATCCGCGATGATTGCATAGAATCGGTATTTACCAATGCATCGATTTGTGGCCTGTCCTAATATATATATATGCATGTATACACACGCATACACTTGGCTAACATCTATATAAAAAAAATAAACAATTTTTAAATATTTCAATTTAATATTTGTAAAAAATCAAATCATTTTAATTTTGCTCTGTTTCTCCCTCAATATAATAAATACAAAAGAGACTAGATATTGTTTGGAATAACTGTGCTAATATCAAATAAGTTCATTTAATATTCTTAAAAGTATCAAAACCTTTATTTAATCAAACAAACCTTAATTGATCTTAGTCTGCTTTATATCTTAAACTCATTGGTGAGATTAGCGTTATGATTTTCTTAACATTCAATTGGAATTGTTGAACATTTATTTATTTAATGAAATTTCTAATTATATATATTGAAGTCATCTATTTAATGAATTTATTATAAATTGCAATTCTTTTTATTACCCATAGCTACATTTGATCCAAGGTTCTGCCAATTTAATTCCAAGTAATGAACAGGTAGATGTCCCCCATCTTAAACCTGGAGAAGAAGGAATAGTTTCAATCCTATTTACATCTCCCACTGATCCGGGTGTTTACAGAAGTCATTGGAATTTTTGTCATAAAAGTAGGCCTTTTGGTGCAATTGTCTGGTGTCATATTATTGTGAAACCTATTCAAGAAGAATTGAGATGTGAACCTTCTGTCTCACCTAAGGTCAATGAATTATCAGAAAAAGTAAGTAAAAGATTTTTAATTATATTTTAACAGTTTTTGATAAATGAATAACTTGCTTTAATATTAATTAAATACGGTTATAGGTTGAAAATTATTAAAATGTGTTGATTATAAGTTGCGTAAACTACAAAGTAGCCTACTCGTAAATTTACTTACTTGTTTCTAAGTTAGTATAATTATAAGATTCTCCTCTCCGACTCTTAAAATGTTGTTTTTGTATCCCCGTAAAAAACAATTAATCCCGAGTGAATTACGCATATCAACTTGCAATGAAACCCTCCCGCGGATTATTATTATGGCATAGAAAAATTCACTTCCTACCCAGTTAGTAAGAATGCTTGTCCTCCCTATGCCTGGCTGAGAGCATGCCGGGATCTCCAAACACTGTGGGTGAAAAGGAGCGACAGTTGCTCGTTCCTTAAATGAGGTGGGGGAAAAAGGCGCTTGTACCATGCAAGCCCCGGAAAAGAGTAGCTTTTCTGCCAGCCGAGGTCTTGAGGTCAAATGAGGTCATTAGAATTTGATACTAAAATGATTTCAGCTCAAATATTAATTTGTGTCCTAAATTATAAAAACTGATATAATTAAATGTAATTAATTTATAGGCAGATTAATCTACGTGTCCAACCCTTTTTTGCTGAGTATTTTTGTCCCAATGATAGCTGCTATTTTGAGATTTTATAGTAAACTGTCTGATCTGTGTATTTTTACAGATTGTGAACAAGCAAATGGAAGTATCTAATATTGCACAAGTTTTAACAGCAGTCAAAGAAGAACATGAAGAAGATAACATGGTTCCTAGAAAACTGATTGTCAATTCTCATACTGCAACCCCTAACAATACTCCATTTGGTACGTAAACATTTCTCAGATTATATGTGATAAAATCTAAAAATATCTTTTAAGTACATTACTTAATCATGATTTAATTTGTTGCAGCTTTAACTCCACCTAAATCTCCAGATCATGAAACTTTTTCAAAATCTGTGTGTGAAATGGCCTCTGATAAAGCCTTTTTAAGTCAATGTAATGGTAAATATAATTTTTATTTATGATTTGTACTATAATATGTGATTCCATGAAGGAAACAGGACACATAAATTTCCATGCCCTTTTTTACTAAAAGCAAGTCCCTGTCTAAATTAATATAAATTTCCTATTTATATTTTTCAGTGACAGCAATCAACTGAAATAATCATTGTTGTTTTAAATTTGTACTCACATCTTCTGTTTCTTAATTTATGATTTGCAGGGTATCTGCGCATCTGGAAAGTCATAATTTTCAGTGATAAATGCTAAAAATTCATAGAAACTCCCAGTTTATCATGGTTTTTTTTTACTATTGAAGCCCTTCATAATCTTGCGGGATTTGAAAATCCTGCATCTCAATTTGTATTCACTTACAAAGCCTGATCTAGAAATGTGGGGGCCCAGGGTCAGGGGACCCATGGGTTTATCTTTAGTTATATTGAAATTATATTTGTTCAGGGTTCCCACGGTCCTTGAGAGTCCTTGAATTTTTTTTTGCTCAATTTAGGTCCTTGAAAGTGCTTGAAAAACGTCTTAGGTCCTTGAAAAACTTGATAGGTCCTTGAATTTGTCCAATACTGCCGGCAGCTCTTTTTATAAAACACCCGCGCATCTTTCTGTTTTGTTCCCTTCCCGAGCTCTCTCACGTGGTTTTTAACGCCACCGTTTCAAACCGGGCCTAGCGTGTTGGTGTCTGCCAAGCGCGCGGAGCACAGCAGACAATCAATGCGTTCGGGGCGAGACTCCACTTCATCTTCTGTCGCATATTCTTAGATCTTCTATTTTCTTATCGAAACTGGAATACTCTCGAATTTCGTAACAATATGTACCTTGTAGTTTTCAATAAATTTGCCGTTTACCATCCGCACTTGTCCTTACGTTTGCGTCATTTCAAAACTTTATTGTAAAACGTATTCGCAAAGGCACGGCTTCGTATTTCTGTTATGTAGTTTAGACTAGTTATGCCTGGGAAGTGCTATTTTTATCCCCAATGGATGGATAATCAAGCTTATAAAGAGTGGATTTTATCAATGCCCGAAAAGAAGTTCAGAGCCAAGTGCCGATTATGCATGAAGGAGATCGATATCGCGAAAATGGAAGAATCTGCTCTGAAATCACACATCCAAGAAAGCTAAAACAAAAAAGCAGTCTCATGCCCTGAGTTCTCTTTTTCCAAAGACATGAACATCTAGTCTTTTTTTTCTAAAAATCC